TAGGTTGAAAAGTTAGGCTAGGGAGCAGGGAGGATGGGGTCAATGGGGAAAAAGGAGGAACATCTGTAATACTTTCAACAATAAAAAAAAAGAACAAATTAAAAGATTCATTTTATTATCTAAAAAACAAAAGTTAGGTTAGGGCCATTTGGACTTGATCTAGAAATAGTGCAGAGCCATTGGTGATGTCTAAGAAAGACAATGGCATGGGGAAAGTGGTATATTATTAGGATTAATCTGATGATTAGGATTAAATAGGAAGATAGAAGGCTGGAAAAATCAGTTATAATATTTGTAGATGTGAGCCCAACCGGTGTGGCTCAGTGGTTGAACATCAACTCATACACCAGGAGATCGCTGGTTCTATTCCAGGTCAAGGCACATGCCCAGGTTGTGCGTCCAATCCCCAGTGGGGGGCATGCTAGAGGCCGCCACTAGACGTTTTCTCTCATGGATGTTTCTATCTCTCACTCCCTCTCCATTCCTCTCTCTCTAAAAATCAACAAAGGAAAAAACAAAACAAAACTTGTAGATGTGAGATGTCAGAGAAAATGATCATGGCCTGAACTAGAATGGTGATGGAAAATTAAGTTTACCCCAAGAAACATTAGGATGAAAGACAAGAGAGTTGGTTTTGAAAATAGAAGAAGAGGGAAAAAGATATTCAAAGATTATACCAAATTTCAAGGTAAACTAAGAAAATGATAACACTGATATATGCAAAACTATGGAAATCAATAGAAAGCTGGTTTTGAAGGAGAACCATTCATTCAATAAATATGTCAAACAGAGTGTGATATCTTCCCCTCAGGGAGCAGCTTATGAGTCCCACTATTTTTTTAAACCGTTAAATACTTTTAATAGGCAAAGAGAAACTATACAGTTCTTTGGGGGTGGGGGGGAATAAAACCTTTTATAGCTTTCAACTCTAAAAGAATTTTATGTCCCACTTTTAAAAAATATATGTTTTTACTTATTTTTTAGAGAGAGAGGAAGGGAGAGAGATAGAAAACATCTATGTAAGAGAGAAACATTGATCAGCTGCCTCCTGCAGACCCCCCATTGGGGATCAAGCCCAAAATCCACACCCCCCCACTAGGGATCCAGCCAGAAATCTGGGTATGTGCCCTGACTGGGAATCAAACCAGGACCTCCCTGTCACTGGGACTATGCTCAATCCACTGAGTCACACCAGCTGGTATATAAGTCCCTTTTTTTTTTTATTTTTTATCCTTACCCGAGGACATTTTTTGTTCAGATAGAGTGGGAGGGAGAGAGAGGAAGAGAGAGAGAGAGAAACATCGATGTGAAAGGGACACATCAAGTGGCTGCCTCCTGCACGACCAACCAGGGCCAGGGAGAGACTGCAACCGAGGTACACATCCTTAGTGGGAACTGAACCCAGGTCTCTCCGACTCTCTAACCACCGGCCAGGGCTAAGTCCCACTTTTTAAAAGAAGAAAGAGTAGTGTGATAAAAATACTTAGTTCTTTTCAAAAGAAACTGAAATAAGCAACAGAACACAAAAGTGGAGATGTTTAGTAAAAGGTCAGAGGTAAAGGAATGGAACTACTCACTATTGGACTGAAAGTTCTTTTTGTTGTTGTTGTTCAGATAGAGTGGGGGAGAGGTGGGGGGAAACATCGATGTGAAAGGGACACATCGAGTGGTTGCCACCCTCACGACCCCAACCAGGGCAGAGGACAAACTGCAACCAAGGTACGAGCCCTTAGCGGAAACCGAACCCAGGTCTCCCTGGACTGCAGGCCAACGCTCTAACCGCTGAACCAAACCGGCCAGGGCTGGATTGAAAGTTCTTAAAGGACAAAATGTATCACTGATTGTCTTTGCATTCCCACAGTGCTGAGCACAGCGAGTGATCACTAGAGAAGACACATTCACATAACAGCTGAAAGAACAAATAGAGAAGAGTGAGGACAGACTGAAAACAAGTCAATTAGGAATGCCCCACCCAAGCCTCCAGAACCCAAAATAGCTAGAGGATCTACACCTATGGAAGAAGAGTGCTTAGCCTTGCCACCCTGGCTGAAAGATAGGCTGATCCTCTGGACACCTGTTTAGATCTAAAATACCAACAGAAAAACAGAAAGAAAACCAATTCTTATGAAAACATATACTGAACTTCTGCTCCCCACACTACTCCCTGGTGAGATTGTCCCCAACCCTTTAAGGCAAAATATAACTTTTTATAGTGTGTAGATTGGACTAATAATGTTAATTAAAGATATTCAAAGGTAGCCTGTCCTTCAAGACTATTAAAAGATATTTTTCTCGTTAAAAGTATTTTAAAAGCCTGAATCCTAATAACTAGTTAGTCCCATCTGGCACATCACTGTTTCCTCAGCCTGGAGAATAGAGAAATGCACAGTAGAATTGCCTGAAAAGTGAGATGAGTGATGCCCAGGTGTTTCAAGTGGTTGCCAGGGACTGGGTTATTACCTCCAGGTTCCCCAATAATGCACACAATTCCACACTGCCCAAATTTATCCAAGTTGGTTGGACAGAGGACAAAGATACTGTTTTTCAAATGAACTGATCTTATACAAATGCTTTTAAGATCATCTCTTTCTCAAGAGGTAAGAATAGGAAATGAATGTCATAACAGACCTCAGGCTCTGGCACCAGGCAGACATGGGTTAAATCCCAGCTCTTCCAAAAAACAGCTATGTAACCATCTCTGTTAATACATTCTTTCAACCATGTAGGATTGATCACCTTCCTTAAGATATGAATATGTGGTAGCTTCATGGTAGTATTTTCCTTCCTGAAACTATACCTTGATCTTTTTGACTGGACCTATATTTTCCTTAATAGCCTCAGCCACTAATTTTTAGTGTAGAGGGTTCTAGATGGTTAATCTCATTCATTATGCTTTGAATCTTCTGAATTTCCCTCTCTGAAAACAATTTTATCTTGAAGCTACTGTTGTTCAACCCATGCCCTGGACTTCACCAATGAAAGGGAAGAGCCATGGGAGAAAACCATAGAGAAAAATCGAATTGCGGGTACAACATACAAACCTTTTAGTTATATAAAACTTAAAAGCGATGCTTTCTTTGAAATCACAAGTTCTGTACACTGGAGATAATATGAAGCTGAACATAGCTTATTAGCAACAAGAACAAAAATTGTTCTGACTTGAAGGAGGCCAAAGGACTTACCCTGACTGTGCTTACAACTCCCAATTCTCTGAGCTCAGGAATGTTTTTGCATGTTGTAGTGGATACTGCAGAAAAACGGAGGAGGAAAAACAAGTTCCACAGATCCTTTATTTGCATTAAGCCTTCTTATACTATTACTGCCATTCTAGTTGAAGCAGTAAAGTCCCACCTTGTTTCTCTGCTTCAGGTCTCTCCACTTCCTTACATCCTGCACGCAGCCACCAAATTAATTTCCTAAACTACCAATTTCATTAGATCACTTCCCACCTCACAAATATTTAATAGCTCCCTACCTCCTGTTCACTGGAGAAAGCCCAACTAAAATTTAAAGCTCAAGCTAGCATTATCCTAATTGTATTTATTATTAGTTAATCCTCACCCCAGGACACTTTTCCTTTTTTTTTTTAAGATAGAGTTGGAGGGAGGGAGGGAGAGAGAAGTGTGAGAGAGAGAGGGGCAGAGGGGGTAGGGAAAAGAGATTGGTTGCACGACCCTGACCAGTGGATCAAACCTGCAACCCAGGAACGTGCTCTTGACTGGGAATCTAACCCACGACCCTTTGGTCCGGCGGGCGGAGGCTCTAGCCGCTGAGCGAAACCGGCCAGGGCGCATTATCCTAATTTTATAATACAGGACGTGTTTCGTGCTAATCCCCTCAACAAACAGACTAATCTGCACACCTGGGCTGGGTAACAATCATCCCTGCCCATCCACCATCCCCTCTGCCTTTCCTTCAAAGGTCGGCCCAGACCCCCTCTATCTCCGCCCTAAACTGTGCTCCTAAAGCACATACTGTCCATTTTCTGACTCTCTTGAAACATCCTTTTTAGCTGGCTACATTCTCGTGGCAGGTCAATCTTCTCCAACCAAGACAAAGTTCCTTGGAGGCACACCACATACTTACACAGAGGGTCTATCACAGTGCCCTGCACTTGGTAGGTCCTGAATATTATTAAAACCAGAAAAAGGGTTCAAATGATGCTAGGGCAAGACAATACTACCCATCTTTCCCAATTCCTCTTAACTCACAATACTCACAATAACGGGTATTCACCGTTCACTACAAGGTTGAAATTTTCTAGTATACAGAGCAGCGAAGTGCAGCAAGCACCACAGGATGACAAAAATCCTACGTCCCAATCGTGATTTTTGCTACAATGTCTGCAACTGTGGGAAAATCACGCAATCTTTCTGGGCATGGGTTAGCTCGGGTGCAAAACAAGGGAGCCGCTGTGATGGGTCCCAAGGTATCCCTTCCCAAATTCCCTGGGACAGGAAACCCAACACTCGTCCACCCCCTAACGCAGAGCCATGCAAACTTTTCCTGTCCCCAACACAGGCATTTCCATATGGTAGTGAAAACTAAGTCCCCGTAGGGAAAAGCAGGGCTGAGAAAAAAGTGGTCTCCCTGGACCCCGAGGCAAGGGACAGTCCGCTTTGGTTCCCGGCCCCTCACACGCAGCCTCCCCGGAGAGCGGCGCCGCACAGCGCGGATCCCAGGAGCGGGCCGGGGTGACTCCGTCCGCGCCCCCACACTTCTGACACACACACGCGTGTCCCCGGGTCACGGCCCCCATCCGCTCTCACCGGCCCGAGGGACGCCGTCTCTCTCAGCAAGGCCCCTCGCTCCCGCCGGGCGGGCTGCCCTTCTGGGCCCTGGAGCGGCCTCAAGGCGGCCGTCTGGGCCCCAGGCCGGCGGGACTGGCAGCGTGAGGGGCGGCAGCGGCGGCTTTAAGTGCTGAATCACCACTTTGCAACCCGAGCTCCAAACCACTGTGACCGCGGGCCCCGAGGGCCCCGGCGCTGTGCTCCGCTTACCCACAGAGGCGCTCCGGGGGCGACAGGCGGGAGCCGAGGACCGAGCGGAAGGTGCTGGGCAAAGCGGGGTGCAGCAGCCACGCTAGCAGGTACCGCATACCCCAGCGCAGCCGCTGGGTTCAGAGCAAACGACTGCTTCCTTCCAGCGCCGAGCCAGCCTGGCCCACTGCGCATGCTCGGGCCGCCGCGCCGCGCCGCCTCCCGGGAGCCACCAAGTGGCGGCCGCTCCGGGTTTTGCCTGGCGCCCGACTGGGCGGGGCCGGCGGCGACGGCGGGCGTCCCAGGTCTGAGCGTGAGGGCGGGGTGGAGTCCGGCGGGGGTGCTGCGGGAGCCCAGCAATTAGGCTTTCCCAGGTGGGGAGGGTCCGGGCTGAGCCAGGCGCGTCCACGTGAGGGCGGCAGTAGGTATCTCCGTGTGTGTTTGGGGGCCAGAGGGCTCACAAATACTGTGAGGGCACAAGGGGCCATGTCTGTGGAGGCAACCCCATTGGCTGCCACCTTGGCCGTGCAGGTGTTGAAACCAGGTCCGCCCACGAGGCTGCCTCCCAGAAAACGATTCCGCGGTTCTGAAAGGCCCACGGGCTCCCTCTAGAGCGCGGTGGGGACGTGGACCGCCGGGGTGTGGTGAGGACATTGGAAGTGTTGAGGGGGGTTGGGTGGGGGGAGTTAGACCATCAGGGTCCCGGCAGACCCTGCAAGATTGATATGAACAAGGCTGACCTTTAGTGAGCACGGTGGGTATGGGACAGGCCATGGCGAAACAAGGCTTTTGTGGACTTTATTTATTTTAAATCATCACCTGAGTATATTTTTTTCCTTTTTTTTTTTTTTTTAACTTCAGATGGGGGGAAGAGAGAGAGAGAGATTGAGATTGGTTGCCTCCTGCACCACCCAACCAGGGTCCCTAGGCTGATGCTCTACCGCTGAGCCAAACTGGCCAGGGCTTGTGGACTTTTAAATCCAGAGTAGAAACTGTTCTTTTACTCTTACTATTAAAAAACAAAACAAGTCTGGCTGGTGTGGCTCAGTGGTTGAGCGTGGACCCACGATGCACCACGAGGTCCCCAGTAGAATGGGCACATGCCCGGGTTGTGGGCCTGATCCCCAGTGGGCGGCATGCAGAAGGTGGCCAATAGATATTCTCGCCTTGATGTTTCTATATCTCTCTCTCCCTTCCTCTCTAAAATCAATAAAGAAAAAAGTTTTTAAATAAAAAACAAGAAACAACAGTAAAAACCCCACATATACATGTGGTGATAAACTGTGTTCAGTCTTCTTCAGCCATTCATTATTTGTAGACAAACTTTCACTGATGGTTTGATGGTATTTTGCATCCAAGAACAATCTGATTAATAATTGTTATGGATTGACTTTGTATTACATTATTTTACGTGTCTTTTTTTTTTTTTTCTTATCCTCACCCGAGCACATTTTTCCATTTTTTGTTCAGATAGAGTGGGAGGGAGAGAGAAAGAAAGATTGACATGAAAGGGACGCATCGAGTGGCTGCCACCCACAAGAGCCAACCAGGGCCGGGGAAAAACTGCAACCGAGATATGTGCCCTTAGCGGGAACCGAACCCGGGTCTCTCAGGACCGCAGGCCGACGTTCTAACCGCTGAGCCAAACCGGCCAGGGCTTCTTGTCTTTTAAAATGACATTTGTTATTGGATTTAGGGCACACCCAGGTAATCCAGGATGATCTCCTCTCATCCTTAATTACATCTGCAAAGACCCATTTTCCAAATAATGTAACACAGGCACCTGGGATTAGGATGTGGACATATCTTTTGGGGGACCACCGTTCAACCCACAAACTACCCCACCTTTCCAGCTTCTACCCCTACCCTCTACTAATTCCAGTTCACACAGCTGTCACAGCTAATTGATGATTATAACAATCCTCGCTGGTCAGTGCTTTAGCAACTTTTAAGCCCTGTTGAAATGGCGTTATCTTTACAAAACTTTTCCTAATTGCCATTTCTCACATACCCCATTGGAAGTAACTATTCTCTATCTTAGCTGCCAGAGTACTTTGCCACTCAAAAGGCACTTATTTGGATCTTAACCTTCCATGCTTGTAAGAAGCAGAAGATTAGGAAAGATGTTTTAGCTGTTTTTAAAAATATGTTTTTAAATTAAGTTTAGAGAGAAGAAGGGGAAGGGAGAGAGAAATATGGATCGGCTGCCTCCTGAATGCCCCCTACGGGGGTCAAGCCTGCAACCCAGGCATGTGCCCTTGACTGAGAATTGAACTGGCAACCTCCTAGTGCATGGGATGAGTTCCAGTCAACTGAGCCACACTGGCCAGGGCTAAGTTATTATTAAGCGATAGTAATTGAGATAATATCATAGCCTGAGAACAGACAAATAGGCCGTGTTAAACTGTTTGGTAGTATCTATTAAAGCTGCACATAAACATACACTATAACCCAGCAGTTCTATTTCTCCCTATATACCCAACAGAACTAGAATGTTTACAGCAGCACAATTAATAATAGTCCCAAACTGGAAACAATCCAAATGCCCATCAAAAGTAATTTGTTCATTTAACAGGAAAAATAATCTGGGAAATATTTATACAATGGAATACAACAATGAAAATGAACAAACAAATTACACTCAAAATATGGATGAATCTCACATGGTGAAAGAAGCCAGATCCAAAGAAATATATGCAGTATAAGTGCATTTATATAAAGGTGAAAACCCAAGCAAAATAAATGTATAATATTAGAAGTCAGGTTAGTGGATTGCTCTGCTGGTGGCAGTGACTGAAGGGAAAATAAGGGGAGATTGTGGGATGTGTTTTATATGGGCATGTTTCGTTTTTGAAAAGTAAATGAGTTGTACACTTATGGTTCACTTAATTTTATGTTTGTAATGCTTCAACAAAATCTTCAAAAAAAGATAAACTTCAAAAATGCAAAACAACAAAAGATAGAGACATACTACCCAAATGAAATGTTTGGTTCTTCTTTGAATCTGGATTTTAATAAATCCATGTGGAAAAGAAACATGAGCCTGGCCGGTGTGGCTCACAGGTTGAGCATTGACCCATGCACCAAGAAGTTGCCGGTTTGATTCCCGGTCAGGACCAATTCCCAGTTGGCAGCATGCAGGAGGCAGCCAATTGATGTTCTCTCTCATCGATGTTTCCATTTCTCCCTACTTCTCCCTTCCTCTCTCACTAAAAATCAATAAAGAAAAAACTTTTTTTTTAAAGAAAAGAAACAGGAGACAATCAGAAAAGTAAGAGCACTGACTAGGTATTTGATGATATTTTATGTTAATTTTGGGGGTATGTGAGTGGCTTTTTTTTTTTGAGTCCTTTGAGATGTATGCTGAAATAATATGATGCCTAGGATTTGGTTCAGAATAATTCAGTGGAAGATGAGGGAAGAGGGGAAGTATGTATAAAACAGTATTGGCCATGAACTGGTAATTATTGAAACTGGATCTGGATGCCCGGGGGATTTATTATTCTAGTCTCTTTGCTTTTGTATATGTTTGAAATTTTCCATAATAAAAAGTTTTATAATGTTAGTTAGTTTTAAGTACAGTTCTGCAGTAATAAAATACCTAAAAGCAACATGAATTTTTAAGAATGTTTATAGATAAGTGATTTATTAATTATAAATTATTTAAAGTTTTCCTAAATGACTCATACTTGTTAGTCTTTAAATTCAGATTGAGGTACTTTATGGACAGTACTTGAAATATTAATGTAAAAATCTATGATTAATATTTTCCACAGTAAACACTACTCTTGATTTGTCCATTTAACAAATGTGGGGAAAAAAACGAATGTGGGCCCAGGCCTTGCTTTAGATGTTGAGGCTACCCCAGAGAAAAGAGCAAACAGATTTGTATTCTTGTAGGGTTTACACTACAGAGAGAAAGAAACAAGTAAATTAATACTTATATAAATTATATAATGTGATTAAAGTAATATTAGGGTGACCAGAGTGGATTTTTCTGCTGTCCAGGTTCAACCAAGGGACTTTCCCTCCATCATCATTACTGCTCCTCTGGGTTGGGGGAAGTGGCAGAGATCTCACCATTTGTATTAGAGGGGCTTATGCTAGTCCTGAGCTGTTGACAACTGAAGTGTGTACATTGGACAGTTTGAGTGGAAGCTCAGAGCACAGAGTTGAATATTGGAGCTGCACGGGCAGTTATTAATGGAGAGCCAGTTTCTTTGGCTCTTCTAATGGGCTAACTCTCCGCCAGATCCTCTTCTGGGATTCCCTTCCCTCAATCTCTCTCTCTCTTTTTTTAATTTATTAGGAATTTCAAGATGGTGATAGAAGAACATCAAACTAAACACCGGACTCTTCTTTTTTTTTTTTTTTCTTTTCCTTTATTGATTTTAGAGAGAGAGGAAGTGAGAGGGAGAGAGAGATAGAAACATCAATAGAGAACTTCGGTTGGCTGCCTCTTGCATGCTCCTCACTGGAGATCAGGCCCATGTGTCCCAACCGGGAATCGAATCAGCAACCTCTTGGTGCATGGGTCAATGCTCAACCACTGAGCCACACCGGCTGGACTCAATCTGTCTCTCCTTTTTTTTTTTTTTAATCCTCAGCCGAGGACATTTTTTTTCCCGTTTTTGTTCAGATAGAGTGGGAGGGAGAGAGAGGAAGAGAGAGAGAGAGAGAAACATCGACATGAAAAGGACACATCGAGTGGTTGCCACCCACACGACCAACCAGGGCCGGGGACAAACTGCAACTGAGGTACGTGCCCTTAGCAGGAACCGAACCTGGGTCTCTCTGGACCGCAGGCTGACGCTCCAACCGCTGAGCCAAACCGGCCTGGGCTCAATCTCTCTTTTTAAGAGTCTAGTTTGAAAGGTACAGATGCTGAATATTTTTTCTCTTTGCCTTCCTGCTATAAGAATATAATTCTCCTGGATACCTTTGGTCTCTAGGAAAGATCCTGAGGTGTGGCAAAAAAAAAAATAAAAACACAGGGAGTAAAATATCAGCCTCTTCTTTTGCTATGTGGAGAAATAAGTGGGGTTTTGTGAGTGTTTAGGGGGCTACTTCAGATAGAGTGGTTGGGGAAAGACTCTCTGAGCAAGTGATGTTTGAGTTGTGACTTGAAAGGTAGAGGGAGCCAGTTAGAGCAGGTGAGGGAAAGACTCCAGAC